TCATCAGTGAACAGAGGTGCACAAGAACAACATATTGATATGTGTTCTTGACTTGGTATTGACTTGGTATTTGCAGAGGCCTTTTGCCTGCATAATAATTGCAGTAATCATTCAGTAAACTGGTAACTTTGGTAAAACTACCTGTTCAGTTCAGTTTAGTTATTATAATTATATACATGCACTGTATTTAGCAGGAAGATCTTCACCTTCTTTTAGAATCCTGAATATAACACAGTTCAGTAATGCAACCTCTTCATGTTGCTTCTTTTTGTCTGAACAGCAATAGTATACACAGCATAGCAACATGCATTAGACATTGCTGTGTTGTACTATGTAAGACTACTATTATTCCAATCTAGACTTCCCTGCTGTTTTGAGCTTACATTGTACTTATTGTTTTTCACATAATTGTTTCACTCCACAGGTAGAGCAGGTCCTGATTGGAAGGTTGGTAGTTCGATCCCCGGCTACCCCTAGATATCCCCAAGGATATCCTGCCAAATATCTATGGGCAAGATACTAACCCCCAGTTGCTCTCTGATGCATCCATTTGAATATGAATGTGTATGAATGGTAGTTAGAAAGCACTTAAAAGCATAGAAGACAGTGCTTGTGTGAATGTGGATGTGGCATGTTGTATAGAGTACTCCAGGAGAGTAGAAAAGCGCTTTATATAAGAATCAGTCCATTTACTATTAAACTGAAACACACACATTTCATCACAAGGTGACTATTTGTGTTAAAAAAAGCTCTATTGTGACTCTGTTTATATTCTCATTGCAGAATCTTTAAGGTTTTTTGTTCTATATATAAATAAATCATTTCAAACACCCATAGAGTTTAAACCTCAATCAAGTGTTAAAGACCCGTGTCCTATGTCAGTTGTTTTTTTCTTGGTACAAAGACCAGAACTACACCAAACTACACTGCTTTGTTGATGTGTGTATCTCAGATAGTTGGGGGAAGTGCCACTAGGCCAGGCATTACTGGCAGTGACAATGTTATCAAATCTGTTAAAACAACAAAAACATCAACAGATTTGCTCACACCGTGTCCCCATCTAGAGCACCATTCCTGCATCCTCTGATAGTTTTTCATACCATTCCAGATTTTCTCATGTTGTTTTATATGATCCCTTTACCTTTCTCAATCTGACATTGAGTTCCACTTGTATGTAAGAGGCAGTGCTGCGCAAGTTACTTTGAAAAAGGAATTAATTATAGTTACTAGTTACTTCTTCAAAAAAGTAACTGAGTTAGTAACTTCTAAAAGTAATTAATTACTTGAAAAGTAACTATTGCGTTACTTTAAAACCAATCGTTTAACCCTCTGGGGTCCAGGGTATAATTGGCCATTTTTAACTACTTTTGATTTTTCCTCCACATTTCACCTTTAAAAACTATTTACTTTGCCTTGTTTGGCATCATCCTTTTCAGCACAACCTCACGTGTCTGAATTTACAGTCATGTTTTCATTTTGACAGACTGTATTAACACAATTGATCTAAAATCAGACAAAAAAAACATAAAATCCGAGTACAAAAAATTATATTTTTACTGTAACAAACCACAAACATGTTTATTGAATCATATTTATAACTTTAAATGCAAATATAAATTGTTGCTTTTAAAATCATATGCACAAGTTTTGCAAACAACAAAGTTATTTGCAGCCAATTACCTTTTACCTTGATTTTTTAAATAACCATTTCAAACTATTTAGATAACAATCAGGTGTTCTGCATTCAATAAGATGCCACACAAATTATTTGTTCCACTCCAAAAAAATAATTTCTGCCTACTATCAACGAGAACATCACAGCCTGATACCTGCGGGCCTGACAGTATCACTCCTGTGTTCATTCAGTAGTCGCCTCATTGTTCTGACACACAACACACACTAACTACACAAGACAACACACTCCAGAAACTTCCCCCTCTTCTTAAACAACCAAATGTCATGTTGCCGTATCATTTTTTGATTGGTCGGCATGTTGCATTTTTCCACCAACACAAACGGGCTGGTTTTTGTTTTGTTTTTGTTTTGTTTTGTTCATAAGCAGAGAGGTCTCGCTGAAAAAATGTCGCGTATATATTGTTTATCATGACTCTGGTTTTACGTGGCCCATCAACACAATTTAAAAACTGGCACCTTGTTGCTTTGTCATCTTAAAGTGGTCATGTGATTGGCTTACCACGACTACTTTATTCTTCCTCAGTTAAACAGCGGCACTCGTGCGATCGTTTTGCCCCCTTAGCTCCAGGTGTTGTGCCAGAAAGTGATCGTCTGTGATTGCCGTCCACGCGAGCGCGCGCAGCTGCTTAAGGCTGTAGCACCCAGATTACTTACATAGACAGCTACTTCCGTACAACTGATATAAGATGCGGTAAGCGGAAGACGGCTTCTGTTTGTTGAAAAATAGTAATGCGACCGCACCGCATTTTCTTCTTGGTAATGGTAACGGCGTTGTAACAATAGAAATAGTAATTAGTTAGATTACTCGTTATTGAAGAAAGTGACGCCGTTATTAACGCTGTTATTCCCATCACTGGTAAGAGGTCACACTGGATTGCAAAATTGCTTTCTACTGCAACACAACACAAATGCCCACTGATTATAAATGCTGCAACAGCAGACTGAGCATTTTTAGGTGTATCTAAAGAAGGTGCCAGTCAAAAAGTGAAAACAAAAAAAAATTGTAACCAATTGAAAATCAGTGTGGAGTCCTAATACGTGATAAAAACAGTAAGTTGTAACAGTGAACAGTAACAGTGAAGTATATTTTACTATTAGATTTTCATCTATGCCACCAGTGGGAATGCTGATATTAGAATTGATCTCAAATCACCACTGCACCTGAACACACACTCAAAGATCAATATTTTCAGGAATTCCATAAAACAGTCGGATATAAGAATACAAATAAATAAACAAGGTAATATATTGCATAACTGTTCACGGCACTATTTGGACTGTTTTCTACAATCAATCCACATTTCACGTGATAGTGAGTATTTCTGGTAGCAAGCACACTCACAGTGCAGCAGTGGGGCTTTTGGATGTCACAGCTTTAATACCCAAATAATAGTGGTACACACATTATTCAGTACACAGAGAAACACACACATACACACAAGCAAAGAAGTGCTGATTGCACTTCTGATGCTCAGTCAGACAGCATTGCCAACTCAATTCAGGCTTATTTTTAGGAAGTGAGGTATGTGATCTGTGTCTGGATACTGGAAGTCTAGATCGGCTCCCTGTGTAAAAAGTGCATTCTCTGATCCTGAGTACTGCCCAATAAGCAGTGGAGAGCTACAACTGACCGAATTCAAAATGCTGTGATTCTCCAAATTTCAGCTACTGCCTACTATGATAAAATATGAAGGTAAATATGTTGCAAAATTTTAGACTGCCAAGTAAAAGAAATCAATTTATCTTAAATGCATGTATTCATTCATATAAACAAAATTTCTATATTTGTTTGGTGTAATAAGGCTATATACCATGACAATACAATTGAACCTAATATTAGCTGTCAAATGTTTATCAATAAATAATTTTGTCAACATTTAAATAATTAATAATGACAGGGGAACAACTGTTTTTAAACGGTTTTTATTCAGGAACAAAATGTGTTCAACTGTCCTGGGGTTTCTTTCAGACGAGTACAGATGAGGCGTAAGAACTCCACAGCAAGTTTGTACAAGTTGGCATAAATCTTATGTTCCCCCTTCCAAACTGAAGTGGGTCCTCCATTCTGGGAATGTTTGCTTCTGCCAACTATCTTTGGACTTCCACTGTGGTATCAGCAATGATGTGGTTTCTCTGGGTCTCCTTTACTGTGGCATCTAAATAACCAAAGTTTGTTTCCTGAGAAGCATAAACAGATTGCGTAAGGCACATAAGTAATCTAGACTGGCTGCAAAACAAAGTAAAAATAATTACCAGGTCTGTCAGCTACGGCATCTTGTAATAATGTTGATGCTGACGCTGCTGCTGGAGTTGACCGGGACATCAAAACAGTAGTACATTCAGATGTTAGTCATTTGACAGCCTCACTGGCCATTCTGGGGCTAAAGAAACCAATTTGTTTAAAAGCGAGGATCCAGCAAGGTGGCCAGCAACATGATGATCGTGCTTTGCAGGTTTTGAAACTTTTCTCTTAGGAGCCTGATGAAGTGCTCACCCAGTTCCTGTGTCAGTAGGACTGTTGACTGCTTTGCCTACTCCAGCATCTGCTCTACTATTTGTCATAATACTTGATACCTGATATGCTTTTTTCCTCTGACAACTCCACAGTGGCTTCATTAAAGGGTGAGAGAATGGACTAGAGACAGGCAAGTATAAATGGGCAGGTAACAGGTAGACATCACTGTTAACGGATGTCCACATATCTGCCTTAATCTAACTGCTGCTACATTGTTGACCGCAGTTTTGCAATAGCTAACAATGGGTGTCTGTGAAAATTGACTAGATTTTGGGATGACCCTCAAGTGACAACTCCAGCAGTGTATATATATATATATATATATATATATATATATATATATATATATATATGTATATATATATGGTTTGCAAAGATTACTATGGTCCTGGGGATGTTTGGACCTAAGAGTAGTGTGATGGACTGGGAACTTTGAACGTTCATATAAATATAACATGTATCTACTTTTGGAGGAGGAAATACTCCCTCTGAAATATCAGCAAGCCTGCATGTGGTGCTTGAAAACTACAGAGCGTTAATAGTGGTAGCAAAACAGAACTGAGCTGTCACTGATGTCAGGATGCTTAACCTCAGCCCAACTTTATCAATGAGCAGCAGCAGAAAACTTTTTCTCTCATCCTTGTGGTTTCCTTAGATAGGTAGCACCACACTCTGGTCAGCAAACTTTAGTGCAGATGAGTGAATGTTCAAACAGTAACAGGATGTACCATTTGGATTTGCTACATGTATAACCTTCAGAAACAAGTCTTGATCTCTCTTCTGTGTCCAGGCCACAGTTGGACTCATCCGGAATCTCGCACTGTGCCCAGCTAATCAGGCATCACTGAGAGAGGCAGGTGCAATTCCACGACTGGTGAACCTGCTGCTCAAAGCTCACCAGGATACACAAAGACATGCCTCCTCTACACAGCACACATACCAGGTATGGAGAGCGCACACACACACACACACGGAAATTCAGCCACCAATCTTCACATAAGTAAGGAAGTGAGGGTAGGTAGAAAGAAGATAACAGGAATGCATTGACAGGTTTCATCTGTGATGCGGGGTTGGAATTTAGACACGCATAAGTAGTACAAGTACAAAGACACATTCGCTGTGTGCGCACAAACAGAGCAGAGTATAAAATGTGAAATAAAGCAGAAATGTTGAACCTGGAGTGAGCCGCTCTCTTTGGTATCATTTAGTACTGCAGGACCCACTACTGATGCACAAACATTGAATCTCAACAAGTTATTTAATGTTTATTGCTCACAGGTGAGCTGTGACATTGATTTAATAATCTAAGTTTAGATTTCAGTTTTTTTGAGCCTAGACTTCTGCAGCTGATGGTGACGGTTTAAGGCAAGGCCAGTTCAGAGCTATTCTAAACATATATGAGGACTAGATAGTTCATCTTCTGTTTTTCATATTAATCTTTGTTTTATTCCATTAGGTTTATAATTTGTGACTTTTTTGTCAGTGAAAGTTATAAAAGCTGTTTTATTATAATAATATTAACAATAATAATAATACATTTTATTTATAGGTGCCTTTAAAGACCCTCAAGGTCACCTCGCATTAGTACGAAAAAATAAAAAAATAAGGTATATGAAAAATAAAAAACAAGAACGAAAGTATAAAAGCTAAAAAAGGTAATAAAAAATTGACTAAAACGGAATCATGATGAAGGGTATGAAATTTTGAATAGATGGGTTTTGAGATGTGATTTAAGAGAGAGAGTTTGCAGTCTGGGGATCTGGAGGAAGTGCATCCAAAATCAGCTAAAGGTTCTGAGTCCCATGGAAGTCAGGTGAGCAGGTGGAAGAGACAGAAGGGAAGCTGAAGAAGAGCGGAGTGCACGAGGGCAGCTTTAAGTTGGTGAAGTTCAGATGAAAACTACGGGGCAGAGAGAGAAGCAAACGGTTTGAGTTCTAAAAGTAATTGTGCAGTTTTGCTTATTTTTGTACAGTGGGAGACTAATGCTGGATAAAACTACAACAGCATGTTGGTGTTTGAAATCAACTATTTGATCATGAGCAGTGACATTGTTGGAACCCTCTGACACTTGGCTGGGAATCCTTGGCATCACAGTATTTATGTTGCTTTTCTCCAAGCACCGACTAACAATGATGTGTCAAAAAATAAAATAAAACAAAAGGTCTAATAATAATTCTTCTACTGTATTTAGAGGTTCCTCTGCTTTGTTTCTTTGCTTGATGGTTGTATGCCTGACTTTCTTCACTTTTCCTGGTTTCAGGATGGCGTTCGCATGGAGGAAATAGTAGAGGGCTGCACAGGAGCGCTTCATATTTTGGCCAGAGACCCTATAAACAGAGGAGAGATTGCCAGCATGCAGACCATACCACTGTTTGTACAGGTACATTCACATGCATGCATATTCAATTCAATTTTATTTATAAACTGCCAAATGGTGGTGGCTGTAGCTCAGGTGGTAGAGCAGGTCCGATGGTTCGATCCATGCATGCCAGATATCCTTGGGCAAGATACTAACCCCATGTTTCTCTCCGATGCATCCATCGGAGTGTGAATGTGTGTGAATGTTAGACAGTAAGCACTAAACAGTTTAAAAAGGTGCTTGTGTGAATGGATGTGATTGGGTGAATGAGTTCGTTGTATAAAGCACTTTGAGTGCTCAAGTAGAGTAGAAAAGCGCTATATAAGAACCACTCCATTTACCAAATCACAACTATAGTCACATCAAGGCAGACATGTCATTAAGATTACAGGCTCCTACAGAAACTGCTGACTTTCTTGCTAAAAACATTTGGTTCCCATACCACTAAATACACACTGTGGAGTTTAAAGCCAGTAGGATTTCATATATTTCCATCCTAAATATAAATGTCCAGCTAAAGTTGTTCTAGTAGATTTGAACATCAGTTTTTCTGTGACAGACTGATGTTTCTAGACAAAGTATTTCAACTTCATCTTTCATGAATATTAATTGACTAAATGCAAAAGATTATACAAGTACCTAAAACTACTAGATAAAACAGAGATAATGTGAGTCCTGCTCAGAGACCTCATAGCTGAGTTCTTCGTCTTTCATTCAATGAATACCTCTAGGATGATAATGTCATTACAAAAATTAAAGTGAACATGTGTAACTGTGGAGCATAGACCACAGCTGGTAGGGCCATCCACATGGCCTTGCTGGCTGTGATGTGCAGCCATCTGTCCCTCCTTTTTATTACACTATAGTCATTACATTTCATGACACATAACCATACACAAAGGACCTTTGGGGGCAGGTTTGTTACCCAGTGGTTGATGGGCGGAGCTGCCAAGGCAGTCCTAATCACGTCTTCACTGGTGTCTGCCTCTCAATTTTACATGCACCTTAGACATGGAGGGTTTGGGAGGAGACGTGTAGATGAGCACTCTTGACCAGGGTCTCATGCTTGTGTCCCCTCAGTTTTAATAGCACTCGAGTTATACTATAAGTCATACTCACTATTTACAGCTCATATACTCACGTACACCAACACATGCACCCAAGAGGCCAATTTAATTAGAAGGCTGGTAATTGGAATGGCTGCTCCAGTCCACATGACAGATATCCTTGAAGGGCACAAATTTAAGGGATATTTTCCTGTTAAATAACCTAAAAAATGACTGACTGTTCCTTTAAAACAGACAGATGTGTCAGAAAAAATAATACTCAAGTACAGTACAGATACTTAAAAATTATACTTCATTACAGTGACAAAATATTTGTACTTAGTTGCTTCTCACCTCTGAAACTCACACAGGGAAAACATGCAACCCAAAAAAGAATGCTACTAGCTAGCCACTAGATTCAAACTCAGAACCTTCGTTTTGTGATCCAGCAGTAACCACAACATCACTGTCTTGTGTCAAAAAACACTCTAGTCGGGCAAACAGAACTTGCTGGCATGGCAAACATGAATTAAGTGCATCTTGCCTTCTTTGTGATTTAGTAAGACTTGCAAAAACACACAAAGTATACTCAGTAAGGAAAACACCTCTGACGGCGAACGTTTCCTGCTGTGTGCGTCACACAAAAATGCCAACTTTAAAAATTCTGACAATTCTGATCGGATTCTCACGACACTGGCATCAGTGTGTAAGTGGACTCTTACTTATATAGAGCTTTTCTAATGTAACTTAGCACTAAAATGATTTTTACTACAAGCCTCAATCACCTATACAAAGCATCTGCACTGATTTAGGTACTAATGTTTTTGGTAATAAGGATAGCCAAAAAAGTAATGTGTGTTGGGAAATGTCAGGATTTATGTATCTATGTGTCTGTGTGTGTCTGTCCAGCTGCTGTATTCGTATGTGGAGAATGTGAAAAGAGTGTCTGCAGGAGTACTGTGTGAGCTAGCCCTGGACAAACACTCTGCAGAGCTCATAGATGCAGAAGGAGCATCAGCACCACTCATGGAGCTGCTGCACTCAAACAACGAGGGAATTGGTAGGTCCTGAAAATTTAGCAGGAGAAAAACTTGTTGCTTGAAACAACAAAATTCATCCGACACCTAAGACGTTATGTTCAATTTTTATTTCCACTATGGCTTTTTATTCTTTTGTAAGTTAAGAAAAAAGAAGCTCAAGGCTTTTTGATAGTAAAACGGTGAATGTGGGAAAAACCTGTCAGTGTATCATGAGTGCTATTTGCTGCATTTAATAATGGGTGAAACTGGAAATGTAGCTTATGAGTCATTTAGTGGGCCATGCCAATTGTGCCCGTTAAAATACCTCAGATATATCTATAGCTCCCTCCCACCACTTTGACTATTTTGGACTTACCTTCCACATCTGCTACAGATATTCCTTCAGCCCCTTGTTCTTCTGGATTATTTCATGCTCCTTAAAAATAATAATAAAAAAGGAAAAGAAAGAAAAGAAAAGGTAAAGTGGAATTGTAAATGAGGCAGCATGGTGGTGCTGGTTAGCACTGTTGCCTCACATCAAGAATGTTCTGCTGAATGGATGCAAAGGCAGGAACGTTGATGCAGACTAAATAGGTGGATTTGTAAAGGGAAAGAACAGCAGACATACAGGATAACTACAAATACCTGGGTCTCCCACAGGCCAATATGAACTATGATGACAATGTGCAAATCTCAGCAACAGCCAAATGGCTCCAGAAGATGAGACAGGTTTTGAGAACCCAGATAAATGCTATGAAGAAAATCCAAGCCATGAATACATAGACCCTACTAGTCATCACATACTCAGCAGGAATAATTAGATGACCATAGGAGGTGCATTGAGGTCTCCACCCAAAGTCCAGCACCTTGAGCCATGAGGATTAGTGAACGTCAGAGCCAGGATGAGTCCAGGATGAAACATTTAGAATCCACGAATCTGCTCCAAAAATGCCTCAGGCAGCTGAAAACAGAAGGTGAGGAAGAGCAGCAATTATGGACGGCCAAGCACCTACATGCTATGGGTCGCTGACAGAGTAAGTAGCAGACATCAAGAAATCCTACCAGCGGTTATTAAAGCCTGAACTAAAAGCAAAAAGGTTCCGATCATGGCAGCACAAGAACAGGTCATAAGTCTAACACACCTGTTAGGACCCAGGCTGTGCATAGGTGCCCTGGAGGCTATCCAACTAATGGTAGCATGATGTAACACTCAAGCTGGGACCTTATACACTGAGAAGCACAACCAAATGTCTGGGGTAGTATATAGGAACACTTGTGCAGCATAAGGACAAGAACACACCAAGATACTACCAATGGTTGCTGAGATGAACAGGATTAAGGTCCTGTGGGATTACAAGTTCCAGACAAAAAAGCAGCTGTAGGCCAACGAACTAGACAAGGAGCAGAAAACCACAGTTGTGATAGATGTGGCAATCCTATCCAACAACAACTGGACTAGTTCTGGTAAATGGACTGGTTCTTATGTAGTGCTGTTCTACTCTACCTGAGCACTCAAAGCACTTTATTCATACAGAACTTTTATACATTCCTAAGTGCTTTCTATCTAACATTCACACACATTAAAGCTCCAATAGATGGATCAGAGAGCAACCTGGGGTTAGCATCTTGCCCAAGGATATCTGGCGTGCAGACTGGAACAGTCATCGATTTAAACACTAAACTTCCACTAAACATTACACCAACTACCACGAAATCCAAAAGTGCCCTCTATGAAGGAATATCTGGAGCAGATGTGGAAGGTAAAGTCCAAAGTGGTCCCAGTGGTAGACTTGAAGAGTGGCTCCAGCAGATTTAATTCAATTCAATTCAATTCAATTTTATTTATATAGCGCCAAATCACAACATAAGTCGCCTCAAGGCGCTTCATAGATACTAAGGAACAAGATTGGAGGTCTGTATCCAAAAGAGTGCAGTCAAGATATTGTGCAGAGCTCTCAACATCCCAGGCCCCATCCAGAGGTTTAAGAACACAGTCCATCATGGATCTGTATGCATATACACTTCTGTAACACAGAAGCTTCCTTACACTCAAAATATGTTCATTCGTGAAAGGACTTGATAATTAATTCTGTTTGTAAATAACTGATGCTGCCATCTCCCTGCAGCTACCTATGCCGCAGCAGTGTTGTTCCGCATTTCAGAAGACAAGAGTTCGGACTACAGGAAGAGAGTGTCAGTGGAGCTTACACATTCGCTGTTCAAGCATGACCCTGCTGCCTGGGAAATGGTAAAATACCTATGTTTGTGGATGTCTGTGTGCTTTTGTGTGCAGAGGTGTTGGCACAAAAGCCACACCCACTCTTAAAGAGTGTTAACCTCATTTTGGTTTGTCTTAATCATCTGCGGACTAACTTCCAACCTGCTCTGTCTTAAAATTTGGCAAAGGCAGATAATTACTGGTTGACTTGACAGATTCAGAAACTTAGCATGCCTGTCTCCTTTTAGATCTACTAATATTATTTACTTGCTGTGGTATAACTGGAAGTCATCAGATTTTATTATTAATTAATTTTATTATTTGACTGTGGCCTAAGGTGTACTGTTAAAGGCTAATTATGTGATAATACATCTCAGGCCATATTATGCAGTGATTCCTCTGGGGAATAACTAAGTGATGTAATGTATTACATTTAAATAATAGGTAATGTTTTACTTTTTTCGAGTAAAATGTATTATTGTATTTATGTCTAACAATGTCTTCACAGGCCCATACTGCAGTTCCTTTGGAGCCTACGTATCTTCCAGATGGTAAGTACTTTGATGCACAAGAAAATTGTGTTTCAGAGCACATTGTGTTTTCCAAAACTTCAAAGTAGGATTTTGTATCTTACCCTGTTTGTTTACTTTTGGTGATAAAATATCGATTGGTGTGAACTGAGATGCAAGCTCTTGTTCTATTAAAATCCAATCTATATCGGTCTTCCCTGCCTAATGTTTGCCTAATCAAGCCATTTCAACTCAATTCAATTTTATTTATATAGCGCCAAATCACAACTGCCGGCTGCCCCGGGCTGCTGTGGGGCCCGGTCCAGATGAGCCTGGGCCCCATAGCCTTGATGGGGCCCAGGCCTGCTGGGGTCAGCGGGGGAGCTGGCCCCTATCAAAAGCCTTCTGTGCATCTAAAGATATAGCCAACACAGGATTTGTGTTATTTCTGTTTAGCCACAGCAGGAGTAGTAATCTCCTCATATTATCCTTATATTATATTCTTGACAAACCCTACTTGATCTTTATGAATATTTTGTGGTAGTACAACCTCCAGCCTTGCTGCTAATACTTTGGATAGAATTGTGCAATCCACATTGGTTAAACCTATCACTCTGTAAATACCTGGATCAGTTAAATCGCCTTTTGGAGTTAGTGATATTACTGCCTAAATACAACTTACAGGAAGCAGTCCACATCCAAAAGCTTCATGTTATACTTAAGTTAAAAATTAACATAGCAAATCTATAAATTTGTGATAAAACTGCCGAGAAGCTGAGCTGAGATTCCCGGTGTCCTTCTGGTTTTCATTGCATGATAGCTTCCTTTACATCTGTCTCTGTTAGGGGAATTTCCCATGTGTCCCTACCCCCTGTGAAATTTGTGGTGTTGTCATTTTATCAAAGAACGTGTTCAGCACGTCCATACTTACTTTGTTATCAGACGTGTATAAGTCTCGATAAAATATTTTAAAAAATCATGCTGATCTCCAAAGAGGATATAACTAATTTATCATCCTTTTAATTGCCGTAATAACATTCTGGTTGTCTATTTGCTTAAGTTGTCTGGCTAATAGTCTGCCTGTCTTCTCACCATTCTCATACAAATTTGTTTTAAGATGAAAGATTGCATGCGCCGCATTTCTGTTATAAATTTCATGAAGGTTACCCTTAAGCCAACAAATCTCTTTAAATGTATTATCATCAAATTTCCCTGCTAATTGTCTTTCCATTTACCTATCTTTTCCTCCAAAATGTGCATCTTTTGCTTATTTTCTTTATTTTTCTTAGCGCTATAACACTTTCCACTAATAAATGCCTTCAGTGGCCGACCTGTCCGTAGATCCAACATTCACCTCTGTTTCTCTCAAATGTGCTGTAGTCACACCACCACTCAAAAGAAAGGACATAAATCACAGCAGCCAATAATGTGACTTCAATACTGGGGGAATATGGTCAGATTTTTGCATACAAGAACTCTGACTGCTACGTATTGAATGAACATCAGGATTTGGATAATCCTGCAAACAGACCTGCTTGATATGAATACATGGACCAATATCTTATAGTCAGTTTGAGACTAGAAATTTCTAACCTTTCTAACCTAACCGTATATTTGTAAGTGAAGGAGAGTAATTGTGGTGACCTTTTTTGATGTAATTATTAAAACTCTCCAAAAGGATGCCAAGGTTGTTGACTTGTTTCAGAGACAGGGGTAGTATATGAGCAGTTTGTCAGTCTCTAACATTTTGGACCAACAGCAAATATTTCTGTCTCTGTTTAATTCCCAAAAGTTTTGAGGCATCCAACAAATTAATGTCATCGGTGCACCTCATTAGTTTGTGAACCGAGGTTCAATCATCAGAAGAAAAAAAATATTAGCACAATTGTATATCATCAACATAAGATTGGCTAGATGATTGTTTGTGAGAGTAGTAAGAAGAAGCATGTAAAGGTTAAAGAATAATAAACAAAAAATAGACCCTTGAGGAACCACTGAGAAAATATTTATATATAGATCTAAAACTGCTAATTAAAACAGAGATTTTGATATGATATGATTCGATGTGATATGATGAAAAACAACTGAGAACTGGACCTGTTAAACCAACTGAGTCACGAAGTCTTTGAATGAAACTGTCATGATCAACAGTGTTGAAGGCAGCAGTGAAATAGTAGAACTAAAACTGAAAGTCTCCGTGAGTCACTGATGGCTTTAGTGAGAGCTGTTTCTGTGCTCTCTATCACTACGGCCGTCTTCAGGGGATGATGAAGAGGGGATGATTGAAAAAATATGATTGCTAAGAAAAGCAGGGGGGAAATGGAAGCTAAAAAAGTTTCCTCTGTCTATATCAGGGGTCAGCAACCCTGAGAACACGTGCCACAGCTGGCACGCGAAGGGTTAACTGATGACACGACCATAGCTGGACTGGCCATCAGTCATACCGGTGGGTCGATGGTGATTTTTATAGGCCGATGACTTTTTTTCTTGTAACGGCATGAACAATGAGAGGTGGTGGATTGGCCAGGTGCTGGCTGACGTGTAAAAATAACTCAGTTGTTTGGTGGTGGCTCTGGCGGAGCTTCCACAGAGGCCAGAGGGTGGATGAGGGAAGGGGAGGCAGGAGGAGGAGAGACCCGAGGCAGCCGCCGGTCCGAGCGTCAGGTGAACTGAGCTACAGGTAAGAAGTTATGACCTGCAGTCTATCTGGGTCAGATATAAACCAAGTTTAGGTGGAGTTTATTTTCGTTGTGCTAGCTAGCATGACGGAGTTTCTATACAGCTGGGTGGGTGCTGTGATGTTACTGATAGTGAACTTTGTTTTATTCATAAGGTTAGTTAGTAGAGTTTCCAACCGTCCCGTAAAAAATGGAATCGTTCCGTATTGAGCTGAAAAGGAACAGTTTGTCCCGGACTTCAGCTAGAATGGAAAAAGTTATTCTGTCGTTACGCTGCACAGCTGACTCTTCTTCTCTCATTCTCCCCCCTCCCTCTCCTGTTTCTACTTCAATCATGAAACTGATCAATGATCAGCTGATCGGCTTTTCTCTCTTGTTTGTTTATCGCCCACTTTGCGCCAGAAAGAGGAAACCAGCGGATGTCGCGCTAAACAACAGCAGCACGTTTAAGCTTGATCAGCTGTTGTTAGAATTTATTTAATATTAATTTCTAGTATCAGCTGATGTTTGCTGGAGCCACAGCTGTAAAGCTGCTGGTCATGATGTCGGTTTGGTTATCTGGTGAGAGGGAAACATGAAGATGAAACCAGGAGATGTCCTTACTGGATCATCAGAGCTGTGATGGAGAAACAGGTTTACCTTTTAGGTGACATGAATGAGTTGAAGGGAAGTTATGAACTGTTTCTGAGAGACAAATAACACCAGGATCCTTTTTTAGGTAGCTGACAGCTGGTAACTGTGCAGGGGCGGGTCTAGCAAAGTGTTGCCAGGGGGCCAGGTAGGGCATTAACAGGGAGAGGGGGGCACAAAGAAATACTTTTCTTTCTTATTCTCATTTAAAATGTCTAGCTTTTAATAAATAATTATCTGAATCTTACAACCAAAGTTTTCATCTGATGTAAAATGTATAGAAATCATACATATACCAACAAGACTGTACATCACTGTCACAACAGCGTTTGTTTTCATTCAAAGGCTTTATGGCTTTAATACCTGGGGCCGGTCTCTAGTCAAAATGCCCGGGCCGATTTTTTGTCCCGGTCCAGCCCTGCACGACACACAGGAATTAATCTGAGAGGTGCATTAAAAAATAAATGGCCACGCCAGCGGTGCACATCGTAAATTACGCTCGCATAGACACATTAGTTGTGCCGCTTCTTAATGACAGTATCTTAGCTAACAACCCAACTACCAGATTCAACTTGTAATTGGCTAAAAATAACCTAGCCTACCGGTGAAAGGGACGTTGCCAGCTGGCAGTTTCCAAGCTGTTGTTCATGGAGCTGCATGTTCACCTGCTGGACATCACTACCTGACAAGTTTAACTGTCTTCAGAACATTGCAGAGGCCTTATTGACAGTGTTTGTCTCTACATGTCTGTGTGAGCAGATTTTCTCTCACATGAGTCCTCAGGTAGCCTCTGAATGCTGGACACTGGGAGACCTGTGTCTCTGAGTGGGAGACCAGAGATCACATTAACATGTGTGTCTCTGTATTAACAAACATGCCATATTGGCCCAGTTTATTTTTCTTATCATTGTTGTGAGGAGACCATAAATAGCATTTACATTTTCTGTTGTACAGTTCATTTGTTGTTATGGATAAAAAGTCTTTTTTTGTTTCAAAATAGCTGATAACTATTCGCTGACAGCTGCCAACATCTGTGAACAAATATAATTCTATAAAGTTGTTCTATATAGTGTGTAACCGTTAATACAGAGCGTTATTAAATTTATTGCTAATATGGCACACTGACTTCTGAGGAAATTTTAGATGGCACTTATTAAATCCAGTTCTTTGTATTCTTCACGGCAAAGAAAGACACGGCTCAAAGTGGTCAAAGCTCAAACAAATGATCTTTATTTTACATTCCCGGGAACGGAGACCTGAACACACGAACACACAAGCTCAGGTCTGAAAGCAGCAGTGCCAGCCTGGTTATATATATATTTCCGCTGCACGTCACACACATTTTAAGTTTTGATCAAAACACTGCTTACTTTCACTTTCTGTCTTCACCTCATAAGCTCTGCAAAAGCATGCAGTTTCCTGTCAGCCTGCGACCTGGTTTACACTCAAAGTTGGCCCTCTCCTATTAAAATACATAAAACAATATAATCAAATAAGCACTAAGTATATATTTAAATTCCAACATACTCATCATCAGAAAGGTTGCCTACCCCAGGTCTATATACTTCCCTCCATCATACAATCTGATACAATGAAACTGTAACAGTATGTATACATGTTTGTGTGGGGATGGCATTTAAAATTTCCAAAACAAATTTAAAATTAAGAGCCATAATGGAGGTGAACTGAAGGTTTTGATTTGATAGTGCTGACAGAAAATCCTCATTGTAACTCTAGGAGCAGTGTTTTTAATTTTGAATAGTTTGAAAAATACAAACCACCAGTCACTCAGGTTATGTCTGTCTCTGCATCTCAGAGTTAGATGGCTCTTACCCCCCATATGGCTATGCTGATCTGCCACTGGACACCCTGCCGCTAGACCCCGACCTCCATGAGCCCTACATTCCTGACATGACTTATGATCCAAGACAGACCTACCCTGAGCCACTCTAACAGGTAATCATACCGATGATGTTTACTTTCTGTCCAGGTTAAAGTGTTATTGTGAATGCACACACAGTTGCTAATGGTCAGACCGAATATATAGCCATATAAGAAGCTCACTGTAAATGAGAAGAAGGTTATGCCCAGTATGTGTTCACCCACTGGTTTCTGGATTTTGCATTTTGAGACCTCAGTGTTATCACGTTAGACTGCCATGTTGTTGTCTTTTTAACCAGAAATTAGCTGATAACTTCCATAACTAACATCCATAAATTGTGTCTGTGAAGGTTCTCAGTCATCCAGGTCATCGTAGTCAAAGGAGCTTGCAAAGAGAAGCGTCTGGACTTCTTTAAGTTGCTTGAAGATGTTTCACCTCTCATCCGAGAAGCTTCTTCAGTTCTAAGGTCAAATGGTGGAGAGTCCCAGATATAAACCCAGTGGGAGTGTCCCCCCACAGAGGGACAAAAGGACCCCTTGATGATCCTCTAATCGCCTGAGCCAAGGTGTGAAACTGGGTGTGGGTCCCAATCAGCCAGAGTTTCGGGTGAGCTCATTGTGAAACCTGGCCCCACCCTATCATGCGAATTCATGACTCAGGAGAGTTTTCTCCAAGCATGACATCCCGGTGCATTTCAGACCCAGCAACACGCTCAGACAGAAACTTGTTCACCCGAAAGACAAACCTCCAAAACACAAACTTAACAATGTGGTGTTTGCTGTACAGTGCAGCGAGGAATGCTCAGACCTCTACATTGGAGAGACCAAACAGCCACTTCACAAGCGCATGGCACAACACAGAAGAGCCACCTCCACAGGACGAGACTCAGCAGTCCATCTGCATCTAAAGGTCAAAGGTCACTCTTTCGAGGATGCCAATGTTCACATTTTGGACAGAGAGGACAGATGGTTTGAAAGAGGAGTGAAAGAAGCATCTATGTCCACTGTGAGCGACCATCTTTGAACAGAGGCAGGGTTTACGACACCAACTCTCTGCCATCTATAATCCAGTTTTGAGCTTCTCGAATGAGAGGTGAAACGTCTTCAAGCAACTTAAAGAAGTCCAGACGCTTTTCTTTGCAAGCTCCTTTGATCCATAAATTGTACAACCCAAATGAACACAAATGCAGACATAGGAAGGCAGGTGGAAGTTAACAAAAGGCTAGCCCTTTATTCAGCTGATGCAAAAAGCCATAGGCCAACAGGATTATAAGGACAAAACTAACTCAACTAACTCTTGGCAAGAAACCACACGGAAACTAAGACCAGGGAACTGAACAGTATGCACTGACCAAGGGGAGACTAAGATATATTGCAGTATTTAGAAAATCCCCTCTCACCCCTGCAGGGTACCCTTTATCCTTCAAGCTTGCCTTGTCTACCAGAGGCCTTGGAGCTTGAAGGTCCTGTGCAGTATCTTTGCTGTGCCAGGACTGTGTTCTTCTGGACAGAGATCACAGATGTTGCTCCTGGGTTCTGCTGGAGCCACTCACCTCCACATCGTCTTGAGTACTTCTCTGAGCCCTTAGTTCTTCTCAGTCAGAGCAGTTTTTTCTTCTGAATGTTGGAACACTGAGCTACTGGTTGTTTTGCAATCAATCTGGATGCTGGGTAGCGAAGAATCCATAGGTCCCTCATCCTATTTATGTAACCCCTTCCGCTGGGGTTACTTGCATAGTAGCATTCCAACAATTCCAAAAGCGCCCTATTTTAATCTCTTGCCCACCTGTGCCTTCTTGTTCCAGTAGCCCACTTCTCATCAGTGTGTTTCAACAACCCCAAACACACCTCCAAAAAGACCACTGCCTTGCTAAATAAAGTAACTTGACTGGCCAAGCATGTTTACAGACTTAAACCCTATTGAGCAGCTGTGGGGCATCCTCAAATGGAAGGTGCAGGAGCACAAGGTCTCTAACATCCACCAGCTCCATGACGTCATCAAGGAGGAGTGGAAGAGGACTCCAGTGGCAGCCTGTGACGCTCTAGTGAACTCCATGGCCAACAGAGGCAGAGTTGGAAAATAATGGCTGACACACAAAATTGACACTCTGGGCACAAGTTAGGCGTGGACTCACTTTTGTTGCCAGCAGTTTAGACATTAATGACTGTATGCTGAGTTATTTTGAGGTCACAGCAAATTTACACTGTTATACAAGCTGTACACTGACTACTTTGCATTGTATTAAAGTGTCATATCTTCAGTGTTGTCTCATAAAAAGATAAAATATTTACAGAAATGTGAGGTAGTGTATATACGTTAGGATATCATATATGGACAATCTAAATATCACATTATAGTTTGCATCAATATATCCAATATATCGTGTCACATTTAACCTCTGATCTCACTTTTACATTTCACATGTGCCATTTTTCAAATTGGCACAAGGTAACTAAATGAATATATACAAAATACAATAGTATCACCTTAAAATTACATACTGCCCATAAAGTGAGCTGCACTGCTGGAGATTTGCACTCCTAGTACTTCTCATTACTGTACTTTTTACTGTATTATGATAATACAGATAATATATTTTTTGTAATAATAACACTCAGTTTATCATTCTTGAACATTTGCTCTTTTGTGTTGCAGAAAAAAACACGCTGACAGAAAAAGAGAGCACTAATAAATCACAGGAAGAAAGCCTGAGCGTTGGATGGAAGATTGGAGGTTTTCATCACAAAAGGAATCAACCTTTTCCAGCACGGGAAAAAATCCCATTTGGAAATCAAGAACTATTGAAATTGGTTGGTTATCTAAACAATGTTTATTGTTGTTGTAAATGAAATAAATCTAACTTTATTATAATGTTTTACTGTTGGGGCAACATGGAGGATATCTGATGTTTTCAGGCATTGTTACTTGGGTAACTTTTTGAAGCTCTTAGATAGGTCAAAGTGCTTCACAATGACAGTTGAGTCATGTGAGACAACCTCAGCTGAGAATCCTTACCAAATGGTTTCATCTGCAAAGATCTAGAAACAAGTCAGAAAACTTTAATCGGTTGAACTTTATCACATGAGTGCTAAAATGTGATGCAATGTCTGACAGCTCATTGCTTTAGATTTCTCTCCCCATGTGTATTGCATAAGAAAAATATATGTTCCATTCGCCTCTTCAAAATAAAAAAACAACATGCTGCTAGGGTAAGGGTTAGGTTCTATGCTTGTATAGTGACTATGCATTTATTTCGGACATCCAAATTAAAATCATATCACAGATGAAGTGTTGGTCAAAAATTCATATGCAGTGGAGATAAAGTCCGGTTATTGAAAGTATGCTAGTTTACGTCTTAAATCTAACTTAACCCTAACCATACCATACATGGTTCACTGGTGAAACTGCAGGTGGTTCAAATTTATACTTAACTCTGACCCAGAATACTGATTCAACAGCATTACTCATCATGAAAAATTTGAGGTCTTGTGAATACCAAACATTTAATAGAAAACATTTTCCTCCTGTTGGCGGTATTGCTGCCAAATGCTACCCGTGTATCCTAGCCCTAAGCTGCTGTCCAGTAGATGTCTCCTGCGTGTATTTGAACAGTGCACATGTCTAAGGGTGTCCATGTGTGGTTGTTGCATGGTAATATATTGTGTACTCATTGAAACAGTCCTCACCTTTACAAACAGTGATTTGAAAAACAAACAACACACACACACACATCTGGGTTTAACAAACAATTTTGACCACGCCAACAATTTGCAAAACTTGTGAAGGACAAAACCAACCATGGTCCCAGCTTTACTTTCAGTAAGAAGATACTCTTGTCAGGTATCTACAGGAAGTTAATTGCAAATTCCCTCCGCTTCAGTGTCAGACAACAAAGCTCACTTTTACAAATTACCTTTGTAGCAAGGGGCATGTCCAATATTTCAGTGTTTTCAATATGAAACTTGTCTAACTGTATGTCTTTGGAAATGGCGACAGGTGGTGGTGGTGTTGCAGAGTGTGATCATACAGTTGTAGGTAGAATTTTACATTTCTTCATCATTTTTGGCTTGATTTCTTTGAACTGTTTTTTTTTTTCAAGTTTGGAATGAATTGTAAATTTTTCTTTCCAAGCTCTTTAGACAATAAATTGTAAAGCATAAATCTTTAATGACTTTAAAGAAGAAGAATTGGATGAGCAGGTTTGAATTTATTTTTTTATTTTCTCTAATCCACAACAGGGTTAAAGGTACACAAGCAGGGCAAAAATATACATACAATCACTTAAATCTTTTAATAATTTGGTAGTTTCTTGTTGCCCATATAAAACGATTATTTTGACATTGAACTGACCAGTACTCAGAAAAATGGGAGCTCAGTAACTACCTCAGAAAGAGAATTGTAGATTTACATAAAACATGTACATGTACCGGTAACTGGAAAGGTTTCTGACGTGTCATCACTTTGCCATGGTCTGGAAAATTACCCAAAGTTTCACCCTTGGATCACACAAAATTGTTCAGACGTTCAAAAATAACTCAGGAACCACCAAAGCTGAAGCCTGCCATGAACAGGGAACTATTGGCTTTATATTGCTATGGACAGAGAATGCTGACCAAGACCCCTGCTCCAAAATCAGCACCTTCAAGCTCAACTGAAATTTGAAGCAGCCTACATGGACAGACCGAATGCATATGATCATAAAAGTTATGATCAGATGAGATGCAGATTGAGCTTTTTGGCTGCAATGATAAGTGGTAGAGTTCTGTTCAAAAATTTGCATAAACTAATTATAGGAATGAAGGTCATGGTAATTTGAGGTTTTTAATTACATCTTTGAACTACCCTTTTTCTAAAGTGGAATGATTGTTCAGCATGAATCTTTAATGAATTCAAAAAGCAAGAAAAGTTTGAATTTATTTTTGATTTGCCTTTAATCCATCAACAGTTAGGTCCAGTTTGGACAGAGATGAATTTTACATGAAACAACTCAACAATGAAACACAACAGCAGGTGAAGTGCAGACTTTCAGCTTTAATTTAGTGGGTTGAACAAAAACATTGTGTAAAAATGTCAG